CTGGGCTCCTCCTATACCAGGAGGGGATAGAACTGAGCAAGCGGACAAGAGTTAATAAGACTTTTGCCCTAAACCAGGCGGCGGGCCCCGCCCCTACCCCTGGGATCTAGTGCCCCCAGCGAGGCCTCCCCGCACAGGTCCCGCCCCAAAGCCCACCCACCTCTCACCCGGGCCCCGCCTCCACCTCAGGCCTGGGCTTTGAGCCCAGCCCCGCCCCGCGCCCCGCCCACCTTGAGCCCGTAGTCGCGCGCCGCCTCCCACACGAACTTCTTGCTGAAGCCGCCCCCGCCGACCACCAGCAGCTGCTTGCCCTCCATGAGGCAGCGCGCGGAGCGCCGCAGCATGGTTTCCACGAGCGGTGCGGCGGCCGCCGCCTCCTCGGCCATCGGCCCCGAGCGCGGGGCGGCCCAGAGCCCCTCGAGCGCGCCGCACGCCTCCAGGCACAGGCCTCGGTTCAGCTCCAGGGCCACGGGGGTCAGCACGCCACCCGCCACCGTCAGCGCGAAGTCCACGCCTGGGCCGGGCGGAGATTGGGGCTCAGCGCGGGCCGCCCTCGGGCCTTGCCTCCCGGCCGCCAGCCGCCATCCCGAGCCGCCCGCACTCACCGAGGAAGTCAGTGTAGGCCTGGCGCCCGCCGCGCTGCTCAACGCTCAGGCCGGCCTCCAGAGCCAGCACAGCTGCCAGCGCAGCCTCGGCTGCGGCCTTGACGCTCCGCCGCACGACCGCCACCTGCGTCGCCTCGCCCAGGCCGCACTGGGCTAGCGCCACCTCCAGCGTCCGCGGCAAAGAGCTCTGGTGCCGCAAAGGATGGTCCCCACGGCCCACGGCGCATACCACCTGGGCAGGGTGCAGCTCAGGGGCCTGGCCCAGCAGGAGCCCTCCCATGACTAACCCACCACCACCACTCATGCACACCTCCAGACCCCCCTGGACGTTCAAAAAGCCTCTTCTCCAATGTGACTTACACTGCACAAACCACCTGCCCAGTGCCACTGCCCATCTGGTCCCTTGACCACTGGGGGGGTTCTACCCAGGCTTCCAGGCCTAGTTAGGGTCCCTGCTCCTTGAGGGCTCCAAGCACACTTGCTCCTAGCTCCTGCAACCCTTGGGACCTGTGCCACCCTGGTGTGCCCCAACTCTGGGACTCCCTGAGAGCTGGGTTGAGTCTCTCCCTCTCAGTTTGGCCCAGAGCTGTGCACTCAGGAGGGTCTCCCAGCCTCCCTGAGCTTTGAGGCCCATCCTAAAGGGCTCCAGGCCCTGGAGGTTTATCAGGGGCCCTGGGTCAGTCTCTTCTGGGGGCAGGAGCTCCCTGGGAAGAGGATTCGGCCCCAGGCCCCGGGCGCCAGGGCTCCTGATGCTGGGTGGGGGTGGGGGTGCAGGAAAGGTTGGAGGGGAGGGAAACGTGTCAGGCACAGGAGTCCTCCCAGAGGCAAGTAAGGTTCCCCCTCAAAGACGCCTCTCTCTGCCCAGGGACACTCATCAGCTCAGTGGCGCTGGACTGAGGCGTGGCAGCAGGGTCCTGACCTGAACCTGGGCCATGCTCACCTTGCTCAACAGGGGCCTGTCACCCTGCGTTCGACACACCACAGCACAGATCCGCACAGCCAGCTCAGGGCCAGGTTGGGGACTGCCTGGGGGAGGATGGTGAAGCCTGAGTCCAGCACAGAGCTGCCAGGAGGCCAAGCCAAACTCCTGTCCCCGGCCAGCCCAGATGGCTCTCACCTGGGAAGGGCAGCTGGGCAGGTGGGCACACAGCCTCCACTAGGACACTCTCCTCCTCCTCCAGTTTCTCCAACCACGCTAGCACTGTGTCCACCACTGTGCCCACCTCTGCTCGTGGGTGCAGACGCAGTACCTGCCGCCCCCGCCAGCGCCAGCTGCTGACCTTGATGGCCACCTGCAACAGGAAGGGGAAGGGGACCTCCTCACCACCCCATGTACCTGCAGGATGGGATGTCATACCAGAGGAGCAATGAGTGAACTGAGGTAAGAAGGCAGGGGGTTGCCACGGAGGGATGGGGCAGCAGCAGGACTTGGTCCCATCCTCTGGCATCTGCACAGACCTCGGGGCAGGAGCCTGTTACCTGCAGGGCATCACCCAGGGCCTCGGAGTGCAGAAAGGCCCCGACTTCGTCCTTCACCAGTGTCTCCTGGCCCTCTTTGCCACTCAGCTCCACCAGCCTCAGTCCCGGGCTGGCATCTCCTCCCTGCAGCAGTGCTGGCGGCTTGTAGGTGAAAGCCAGGGTAGCTGGCACAGCCACACCACCCTGCCGGGCCAGCAATCGCCTTGTCAGCAGCCGGTCCTCCAGTAGCCGGGCCAGCTCTGCCGAGGCTCCTGTAGGGCAGGTGAGGTCGCGGGCGAGCTCAGTTGCCTCCCAACCCCGGCCAGGCCCCAGTCCCAGGCCTGCCAGGAAGTAGGTGACACGGCGTGGGGGGACAAAGTCATCCAGGAATGTCAGGCCCCCAGGGTGGAAGCTCACTGCCTTGGAGACCAGAAGGGCCGCCTCGCCTGGCTGCCCTGGTGCTGGCACCTTCATCAGCCAAGCAGGGGACAGGCAAAGAAGCATGTTTCCTGTGGGCAGACGGGGGAGGGTTGCTGGCCAGGACAGGCTTCCTGTCCCCATGCCCTCCACCTCCAGCCCAGGCCTCTGGGTAGTGAGGGGCAGCTGTTTCCTGAGCCCACCCCCACTTAGGGCATGGCAACTGGTCCAGTGGAATGCAGGCAGTTGCCAGGGTTGGCGGGTATTTTGGGATGTGGTTGGGCCAGGGCAGGGCTGCCTTTTCTGTATGAGGGGGCGGGGGAACTTGGGGGCACACTCACCCGGACTCTGGACCCCACCTTCCAGCAGCACAGACAGAAAGGTGCTGGGGGATCCCAGAATGCACAAGGTCACCTCCATCCCAGGGCAGCCTCGGGGGAAGAGAACATCACCAGACTCACCAGGGGCTCCCCTTGCTGTCTTTCTCCCCACCTTTCCCGACCCCCATGGCCCTTCCAAGTACAGATAAGAAAAGTAAAGGGGACAGAGGGGAAGCTGCTGCCCGTCCCCACCCTGGAAGGCTGGTTCCCTTCTCTGCAGCTGGTCCAGAAGGCACTGGAGGCTGGGTGACCGGAGACCTGGGTTCTAGCCTGAGCTCTGCCACTGACTTTCTGTGGGACTCTTGGCCCCTGTACAGTGGGAGGAGTCTCAGTTTTCCAGTCTGTGCAATGGGACCAAGGCTGTGATTCCCCCCCCCCATGTATTTTAGCTGTGAATTCACACAAAATCTTTGGTGGCCACCTGATTATGTAAAACAGGTAAAGCAAGGCAGAAGTCTTGGGTCCCCACGGCTGGCTGCCTCTAAGGCACTTCTATAGAAGCCTTCGCTCCACAGAATGTGGGTTGCGGATCTTCTGGGGATGGAGGGAGGCCTTGGTCTCTGACTTTGAATGCCGCCAGGGGCCCTTGGAAACAGTGCCGGCCTGCCCAAAGTTGACTGGCTTGCCTCCAGGGCTTCAGACCTGCCAGAGCCTGGGGGAAGGGGCCAACTTAACAGGGATGGGAAGCAGACTGGGCTGTGGGCACCTCCCTGCCTCCCTCCCTCCAGGGGGGCCCCCCTCTGTGGAGCCCTCAGGCACCTGTGCGGGGCGCCTGGCTGCGGTCCTGGGTCTCCGGAAGGCCAGCTTGCTGCAGACAGCTCTGCAGGAGGCTGTAGTAGTAGACAGTCCAAGCCCGGGCCTCCGCCCCTTCGGGGGAGCCCTTGCAATCCAGGCCCACGTCCTGGCGCCAGGAACCAGGGAAGTAGCCCGGGGGCGGCAGGCCAGAGCCCCCTCCCCATGGGCCCTCCTCTTCCTCCAGGTCCTTGGAGCCCAGGGGGCAGTCCCATTCGAGACCCAGCGGATCCAGGGAGAACTGGGGGGGCGGGGATAGAGTGGTGGGTGTTGGGCAGGGTGGGAAAGAGGCACATTCAGACACCCAAGGGTGTAAGTCCCCGCTCTCCTAACTTTGGGTTACGTCCGGGGCAGACAGGAGAGGACGCGGTGGAATTGGGGAGTCAAGACCAAGAACATGTCAGTGGGAGTGCTTTGTAAACAGTATATCCAGTGCCCCAAGGGTGGGGGCAGAAAGCTGGGTGCTGCCGCCCCCCTCCGTGCTAGGGTCTGACCTAGCTTGGTTCACAGGGGCAGAGGTTTTTGTCTGCTTTGTTCTTTAAGGCAGCCCTGGCACCTAAAGCAATCCCCGGCACTCTGTAGCTGCTCCATAAATGTTTGTTGACAGACGAATAAACGAATGAGTGACCCATCTACCATCATGGAGTTCTATTGAGACCTGATTATGTAGGTGAATCTGTTCCTTGTCACCTCCAGGTCGGCCTCAAAGACCTACTGTGTGGCCAGGCATTGGTAGTAGGCATTGGTAGGGGAAAAGCTGATGTCCTTCTTTTCAGATGTCCTGAGTCCCAGAAATGCTTTCTTTGGATGAAATCTTATACCCCTGCTCCTCCCTGAGGCTGGCTGACTCCCACGTGGGGCTGCTCAGAGGCTCAGTGTGAACACAGGTGGGCCCGTCCTCTGGGGGGCAGGCTGGGCCACCTTGGACACGTTGTGAGGTTCCTTTGGGCCTGTGGGTGCCAGGTACTTGCCTGTCCCACGCTTGGGTGCTGATGAAGCTTGGACCAAGAGAATCACCTCAGTCACTGGGGGCAGTATGCTGCCATGAGGGCAGAGGTCTGGGCCTCAGACCTGGGCTTGAATCCCAACGCGTCAGTGCCAAGCTCTGGTGCCTGACCTTAAAAAACCAGTTCCCTGAGAGCCCAGACTGTGTTCACTGCCATGACCCCAAACCTAGGATGGTGCCGGATGCATAGTAGGTGCTCAATAAATGTTGCAGAATGAATGAATGCCAAAGGAGACAAACAGTGCCCACCTCCCAGGGCTGATGAGGAGAGACGGAGTGCCTGGCACATAGTAGCTGCTTGTCCCATGGCACAGAACAGGGAGCCGGGGAACGGGGGGAGGGGAGGGGGGGCATGTGCAGCTGGCTTCGGGTCTGTGCTATGTGCACAGGGCAGCCCTCAGAGTTAGGCTCTGGGTGCCGTGCCGGACACTGCCCTCTGGGCCCTCTCTCTGGTGGGGGACTTGGACATTTTGGGGGAGGGACCAGAGGAGACTCACCATCTTATAGGTAGAGAGACTGAGAGCCTGATGGCAGAGACAGACAGAGAGATAAAAGAGGGAGTCAAGAGGGCCGGCTGAGTGGCTCAGTTGGTTAAGAGCTCGCTCAAGAGTTTGAGCTCTGAGCAACAGTGGTTCGAGTCAGCCCGAGCTGAGCAG